TATTATTATTTAAAGGTTAAAAGAGAAAATTCAAGCAACGTGGTGGGGAAGGGGGTAGAAAGTGAGGTTTCCATTAGCACCCAAAATTTTAAAGTTGATTGTTCGATCTAGTTGCGAGAAAAGTGTAGTGGTGGTAGACAGAGGTTATGAGGTATCAGAGGTATGTGGGTTGACAGAGGTCATGAGGTATTAGAGGTACGTAGGCAGTCAGAGGTCATGAGGTATCAGAGGTACGTAGGCAGTCAGAGGTCATGAGATGAAGCATGTTGCCAGCCCGAAGTCACGTACTTCGTAGCTGCCCAAGATACTCAATCTCGGACACCCGGAGCGGCTCCTGACATCTAGTCACCTCGATTCGATCGCAGGACGACGAGCTTGGTCAGGCTCAAGCTCGTCCCCTCTACTCCCACTCCACAGTAGCTCCGTACACAGGCAAACCCCTCATGTGAAGCTCCTACGTTGTTTGACACGTGTTGCCCGGGTTTCTCGGAGGGATCAACACGTGTACATCCCCCTGAAGGCCTATAAATACCCCTCAGGGTCCATCTCAGAAAGGTATTGGAAACCGACCTCAAACTCAGCTTTTACTCTTGCTCCATAACTGGTAGTTCTGATTATTGCTGACTTAAGCATCGGAGTTTCTACCTTGAGAACCAACCTCGGAGCCTTGCAGGATAGCCGAAGTGAAGACTTGAGATCAGGAGTACCTCCCAGTTTTCTGCAATTACATTGGCGCTGTTTGTGGGAACCCGAGCTAAAAGCCTTTGCTAGTGGCTGTTACGATGGTTAACACGCGCTCAACGCACCACGGAAGTCCCCAACAAGGGCACGGAAGAGATCAGCTCCTCGGCGGGAACCCCACATCCTACCCTGTACCACCCCCTACAGTTCAGCACCAGCAGGCAAAAGGGGCAGGGGAAAATGATCCGAACCCAGTAGAGATCCCAAATGACCCCCTAATCACCCAACTTAACGCCATGCAGCAGTAGTTCGGTGTGATCCAACTCGTGCTCGCCCAACTGTTAGCTAGAGACAACCCAGGTGATCCCCTCATCACCTTATTAAATCCCACCAATCAAGCACCAAATCACCAGCCTTGACAAAACGTCAGTTCACCAGCTCGAACTGTCGCCCCATCTCCCAATGAGTCTCAAGCTCATTCCCATGTGGTACCTCAACCTCGGCAACCATCCCAACCAGCTGTCTCAGATCCTCCCAACCAACCACACTTAGAACAAGTGGTGCCCGAGAACCGAAGCCCCCAAATCCCGGTTCAGCCAAGTTCTACCCCTATCCCTACCCCCCTCAACACCAACATCATTCATGAACCTTACCCACCTGGGTTTAGAATGCCTCAGCTCGAGACATATGATGGTACCAAGGACCCTAATGATCACTTGCACGCTTTCTATTCTGTCATGCAAGCTCAAAATGCCTCAGATGCCTTGATGTGCAAAATATTCCCTTCTACTCTGCGTGGAAACGCGCAGACTTGGTATTACAGTTTGCTGCAGAGCTCGATCGGTTCTTACGCCGAATTGGCGGCGTCCTTTGCCACGAAGTTTTCCAGTTGCCGACTGATCAAAAAAACAACATCCGAGCTCATGCGGGTGGCCCAGAAAGAAGGTGAATCCTTAAAGAATTACATGAATCGATTTAATGATGCAGTGCTGGAGATCGGCTCATTCAGCCAAGCTGTCGGGTTAGCTGCACTAACACAAGGCCTCAAGCATGAGAGGTTTCGAGATAGCCTCATAAAGCACGCCCCGTCCACGTTTGATGAAGCCAATGAATGATCCTGGAAATTTATCCAAGCCGAGGAATATGCCCTGTCTGGCAAACCAGCTCCAAATAAAGAGGTCAGACCTCCGATCTGGAGAGACGAAGGACAGAACAAGAAAAGATTTAAACCTACACAATACCGAGGCCCCTAGGCCCCTTCCCACCTAAGCTGGACAGACCTCCAGTACCTACCCCGCAGCCTATGGCAAAGCAAGTTGCTTGCACTCCGTTTAACCTGCCGAGGTCACAGATCTTAGTGCAGATCAAAAACAAAATGGAGCTCAGAAGGCCTCTTCCTATGCGAAGCTCACCCGCCTCAAGAGATCAGAACAGATATTGTGATTTCCACTAGGATCACGAGCACACCACGGAGGAATGCAACAGCTTGAAGTCCGAGCTTGAGGGTTTAGCTCGGAAAGGGTTGCTAAATGAGTATGTCTCTAACAGGGACCAGCTCAAGTTCGTCCAGGAGCAGGGGCGACCTCAGTCATCTCGAGATGCAAACAACCGACTTGGAGTTGGATATCAACAAGCACCACCTCCGCTCCCTCCGCCTTCACGCATCATTCACATGATAACAGGAGGGCTAGAAGCCGAAGGGACAAGCTCAAAGCAGCAGAAGCTATATATGCGAGAGGTGAAGCATCCCAACCGGGCTCAAAAAAGAAAATTTGACGAGACAGATTGGAAGAACCAACCCATAACATTCAGTTCCACTGATTTTGATGGTGTCGTCACAGCACACAATGATCCGCTGGTCACCTCGGTCATGGTCAATAGTTGTGAAGTTCAGCGCGTCCTTGTAGACAGAGGAAGTGCTCCGGACATCATGTACTATCACTGCTTCGAAAGCCTTGGCCTCGACCCTGCCCTCTTACAGAGGTATGACGGCCCCATCTACGGCTTCAACAACCACAACAACCAGCCAGTTCCTGTGGAAGGAATCCTTAAACTTAATGTAGCATTTGGCTCAAGCCGAACCTATGTAACCCCCTCAGTCCGGTTTTTGGTAGTAAAGATGGCGTCATCCTTTAACATCGTCATCGGAAGGCCAACCCTGACTGAAATTAGGGCAGTTGTTTCACCATCTCACCTCTGCCTGAAATTTCCGACCCCCACGGGCGTGGCGATGTTGAGGGGAAATCAAGAGATAGCCCGGCACTGCTACATGACTTCGGTCTCCCGACCTCAGAGGGACAAACAAGTGGCAAACCTAGAGCCAACTCAGCCTGAAGTCCCAACCACACAACAAGTAATGGGTGTGGAATTGTTGGACAACAGACCTGAAGGTGAAGCCAGAGCCACTCCGGCAGAAGAGGTGGAGGAGGTGCAGCTTGACGACAATGATCCCACTAAAAAGACAAGGATCGGCACCAAGCTGAGCTCCGAAGATCGGCATAGCTCATTGGCTTTCTGAAATCAAACAGAGACGTGTTTTCTTGGACCTCAGCTGATATGCCAGGCATACTCACTTCGGTTGCGGTCCACAAGTTAAGCACTCACCCCTTGAAGAAGCCTGTAGCCTAGAAAAGACGCCTGTTCGGCGGAGAGAGGTTGGAAACCATCAAGTCAGAAGTACAGAAACTCTTGTAAGCCGGGTTTGTAAGAAGGGTAGACTACTGCGAATGGGTTGCCAATCCCGTTCTAGTCAAGAAGTCGAATGGCCAATGGAGAATGTGCGTTGACTGCACGAATCTGAATGACGCTTGCCCCAAGGACTGCCATCCCCTGCCGAGTATAGATAGGCTGGTGGAATCCGCGTCCGGAAATGAACAACTTAGCCTTTTGGACGCTTACTCAGGGTATCACCAGGTCCACTTGGCCCCCGAAGACGAGGTGAAGACCTCTTTCTACGCAGGCGACGAGATCTACTGCTATGTAATGATGCCGTTTGGGCTCAAGAACGCCGAGGCGACATACCAGAAGATGGTGACGATTGTGTTCCGAGCTCAGATCGATAGAAATCTCGAAGTCTACGTTGACGACATAGTAGTCAAAAGCCTCAAGGCAAAGGACCACCTAACTGACTTGGCAGAAACATTTAACAACCTCAGAACACACCGCATGAGATTGAACCTAGCCAAGTGCGTCTTTGGTGTCGAATCCGGCAAATTCCTCGGGTTCATGGTCTCCAGGAGAGGAATCGAAGTTAACCCTGAGAAAATCAAGGCGATAGAAGAGATGAGGCCCCCGAAGTCAATTAAGGACGTGCAGTGCCTAGCCGGGAGAATCGCAGCTCTGCACAGGTTTGTATCGAAGTCTGTAGAAAAATGTCTGCCGCTCTTCAAAATCTTGAGATCCGTCGCCCATAAAGACGAGGCAGGGAAGTCTAAGAAGTTTGAATGGACCTCAGAGTGCCAAACCACCCTCAATGACCTCAAGTCGTACCTCGGCTCACCACCCATGTTAACCAAGGCTGAAGAAGGCGAACTCCTTTACCTCTATCTCGGAGTCGCTGATGTGGCAGTAAGCTCCGTCTTAGTCAAAGAGGTAGGTAAACAGCAGAAGCCGGTATACTATGCCAGCAAGGTTCTACAAGGAGCCGAGCTGCGGTACTCCATTGCAGAAAAGCAGCTCTAGCGCTAGTCACTATGGCACGAAAATTAAGACCCTATTTTCAAGCCCACCCCATTGTGGTGTTAACAGACCAACCCCTCAGACAGATTTTGCAGAAGTCGGAATGCTCAGGCAGGCTTATAAAATGGGCAGTAGAGTTGGGGGAATTTCAGATAACATTTCAACAGAGGTCGTCAATTCGAGCTCAAGCCTTAGCAGACTTTGTTGTTGAATGCACCTCGGCCTCCGAAACCGTCGCTTCTGAACTCGAGCAATGGACCCTCTATGTGGATGGGTCCTCACGCAGCAGAGGGTCAGGGGCCGAAGCGGTGTTGATTGGGCCAGGAAGCTTCCGAAGTGAGCATTCCCTGAAATTTAATTTCGAAGCAACAAATAATATGGCCGAATATGAGACACTCCTTCTCGAACTTCGTTTAGCAGCTGAGTTGAAGGTCAGATCTTTGCAAGTTTACAGTGACTCCCAACTCATAGTCAACCAAGTCAACTCTACATGCGAGGTCACAGATCCCACACTGGCCAAATACTTAGCTGTGGTTTTGAAGCTCCAAAGCCAATTTGAAAGATTTCAACTCACCAAAATCTCGAGATCCGAAAATGGCCATGTTGATTTGCTATCAAAGCTAGCTTCCGACTGCTAAAGTGGACTGAGGTAAGTTTTTATCGAGGTCTTAGACGAACCAAGCTTCCAAAGGTCGCAAGTGATGGAGGTCAGCACCGATCCCGAAGCCCCCAACTGGATGGATCCCATTAAAGCTTATCTTCAGGATGGGACTGTCCCAACTGACAAACAAGAGGAGATAAAGTTGCGAAGAAAGGCATCTCGGTACATCTTGATGGATGGTACCCTGTATAAAAGGTCATACTCGCTCCCCCTCCTTCGCTGTTTAACTCCTTATGAGGCCGAGTACGCACTTCGTGAGGTGCATGAGGGTGTATGTGGGAGCCATGTCGGAGCTCGAGCCCTGGCCCACAAGGTACTTCGGCAAGGATATTACTAGCCACACATGCAAGAGGACGCCAAAAAGCATGTCCAAAAATGCCCAAAGTGCCAGTTCTTTGCACATCTCACCCACCAACCAGCAGAGGAACTCACCACCTTGGTGTCACCGTGGCCCTTCGCGCAATGGGGGATTGACCTCTTAGGTCCTTTCGTGAAGGGTGTAGGGGGCGTAACACACTTAGTCGTGGCAGTCGATTACTTCACCAAATGGGTCGAAGCCCGACCTCTTTCTAGCCTGACCTCGAGAAAGATTGAAGACTTTGTTTGTAGTTCGGTCATATGCAGATATGGAATCCCAAACCAAGTTGTGGCCGACAATAGACCTCAGTTCAACTGAACCTCATTCAAAGACTTCTGTTCCAGCTATGGGATCAAGCTGGTGTTCACCTCTGTCTATCATCCTGAGGCAAACGAAATGGTTGAGTCTGTCAATAAGGCCATCCTAGAAGGCATAAAGCCAAGGTTAGACCAAGTCAAAGCCAAGTGAGCGGACGAGCTCAACAATGTCCTATAGGCCTACCGAACTACGAGTCGGACAGCCACAGGTATGCCACATAGCTAGCTTTTCATTTTGCTGCCATTACTCGCTATATATAAAATAAACTCTAAAGTCACAACTCCTCATTAGGCGAAACGCCCTACCACTTGGCTTTTGGGACCGAGGCAGTCATTCTTGTCGAAATGGGCATCCCAAGCCTATGAGTGACCCATTTTGATGCAGCTTGAAATGAGCAGTTGCTGAGAGAAAACCTCAATTTTTTGGATGAAGTTCGCGAGAATGCTCGACTTCGTACATTAGCATACAAACAGAGGCTGGCCAACTCATACAATAGACGAGTCCAACCTCGAACCTTTAGAGTTGGTGACCTCGTCCTCAGAAAGGCAAGACTCACCGGCTTCGAAACTCACTTTGGCAAGCTCGCGCCCAATTGGGAAGGCCCTTATGTAGTAGCCGAAATCCCACACCCCGGCGCTTACATACTTGTAGATGCCGAAGGTAAAAGAGTACCTAGGGTTTGGAATGTAAATAACTTAAAGAAGTTTTATCCGTAATAAAGCTTCATTTTATTCCAATTTTTATGTGCCGAGCTTGAGCTCCTATGTTGCCTTCTATCTCGTCTTTAAGGAAGTTACATTATTGATCTCTTCTTATCTGATGTCAAGTAGTTAGTATTTTTTCTGCTATATTATTTGCTAAGTTCGCTACAATTTTTCTGTCAAAAGTCATTCCAACACTACAACAATACACCATGCATTCTCAAAATTTCAATTCATTCATTTCAAGTCAAATACAACTTGTTCTTTACACAAGCTACAAATTCTAAAAATAACAGTACAAAATACGAGCTGGCCGAGCTCAATCAATAATTTGAAGTTGTTGGTCCACTTCTTCATTTCGAATGTTGTCAGCCACCTCCGTCCTCGGCGCCACCTCGGCCTCCTCCTCATCAACGGCAACGAACTCGAAGTCCAACGTAGGTGGGAGGATAGTCTTTCCAGCCTCATCCCGTTCCCAAGTCAATTTAACCTCGGGACGGAACTCTGCCGTCTTACTATCCCCGTTCTCCTCCACCCCTGCCTCTTCAGGACCAAAGGTGATGCTCGTCACATCTACCTCTGGATTCTGCTCCTTCACCTTCTTGCCGCAGTCAGCGAAGGCCATCACCAGCGTTGGCAAGCGGTAGAGGTCCACCACCTCAGCGAACGTGGCAGACTTGACGAAGTCTGAAACATGCTCCTCCACAGAGTTGTGGACCGCTAGCTCGGCTGACTTCTTCACTTCGGCCAGCTTGTTCTCCTTTCTCCCAAGTGCCTCCTCGCACTTCCTTCTCTTCTGCTCCTCCAGCTCGGCAGACCTCCTGGAGTTGGCCAACTCCTCCCTGACCCTCTCCAGCTCTGAGGTCAGTTCACTGAAGTTCTTCTTCGCCTCCTCCTTCTGGTGGTTGAGCTTTTCGTTCTTTTTCACCAAGGCAATCCGCTCTTGGAGGCAGTCGAAGAACTCAACCACCATTGCATTCACCAAATTTGTAGTCTGCATAGAGGCCGAACTCAGTAAAAAATAAATAAATAAATAAATAAATAAAATAATAATAACAAACAACCAACTAAAAGCTAAAAACTAAAATAGGAGCTCACCTCCAGGTCTTGCAGAACTACCCTAGACCCCCCATTGGCAGCCAGCTCATCTTTTGCCCTCTGCAGGTCCACCTCGAGGAAGTGGGCGCCAATGAAGCGCTTTGCAGCCGTCCTCCCCGAATTGTAGAAGTTGGCCACCTGCCTGGGGTAAGGAACGGAGCTCTTCCCCCTCCCAGGCGCCACCACTTCGGTTTCCCGAAGTTCCGGGTCGATCTGCATTGGGGCCGGCCGAGGTACGAACTCGATCGGGGCCTCAATCTACAAAGGCTGCACCTCCTCCACCCTTGGCCTCTTTCGGGCGACCTCCTCAGTTATACCCCTCCTGGGCTCAGAGCTGGGCCCCACCTCAGCTCGAGGCCTTGATGCCTCACCCCCAACTCGCTCCTCTTGAGCACCGGGGGCTGATGCCCTTGACCTCTTCTCCGGAAGTCGCACTTGTTTGCCCCCAGCTCTCAAACGATTCATCTCTTCTGCAAAACCAAACGAAGTCAAAAATTATAATCAGACTCCTACTCTACAAAGCACTTTACTTCAATTAACACGGACCTCTGCTCAGCGAGCTCCTCCCATAGATTCCAGATGACTCCACCACCTCTAGATTGGTGAGGTACATTATGTTCGCCAACTCCCCCCCACCCCTTTCCAACCTCTTCACCTCGTCCTTCTCCACCTCCCCTAGTCGGTACTGGTTCGGATTTCTTCTCTTCCCCTTCCACCTACTCAGCTCTTCTACCTCCCCATCCCCCCTCCCCCACTCCGTGTCATCCACAAAGATAAACTTCTCCTTCCACCCCTTAATGGAGAAAGGACCTGCAGTGAACAGGTTCCTACTCCTCCCTCCAACTACCCGAGGTGTAAAGTAAAACCACCCCTTGTCCCTCCCATTACCCCCCTTGATTATAAAGAAATATTTAAATAGATCTACAGTTGGAATTCGCACCCCCCGAAGTTGGCAGTATACTAAAAATCCCACTACCAACCGAACTCCATTGGGGACGAGTTGCGTTAACCCCAACCCGTATTCCTTTAGCAGCGCTACCAACAACTCCGGGATTGGAAACCGGAGCCCAGCTACCAGGTAGTGCGCGTACAAGGGCATCCAATGGTCTTTTGGAGCCGAACACGCTCGCTCCTCGCCTCTTACTGGCCTTACCAGCACATGGGGTGGGATAGTATAGTTCTCCACTAAGTGCCCCAGCTCCCCCCTGCACCTCCAGCATGACTCATACCCCACCACCTCCTCCACCACCTCATCACTCTCGTCATAACACCTTCCCCAATTGTTACCAACCTCTAAAATGTTGGTTGGGACAAGGCTACCCTCTTGACCCCCACTTCCCCCACTAATTGGGGTCCTACCCCCATTTCCCCCACTAGTTGGGGTCCTACCCCCATTTCCCCCACTAGCTGGGGTCCCACCCCCATTTCCCCCACCCGAGCTCGAGCTCGAGCTCGAAGTCGAAACGGAGCTCGAAGTCACGTCCCTCACCCTTTCTTCCCCTCCAACACTTAGTGTTCCTTCAGACGATATCTTTGCTATCAGTCTTCACTACAAGAAGTACGTCACCAACAGTAATCAGCATCACCTATAGTCTCTATTTTTTACTTCCCCCCTTCCTACTTGAGTGCCTAACCCTCCTTATCTAGGCTAATAAAATAAAGCAAGACTACAAGGGACCGAGGTAGAACTCAAAGTTACCTGGTTTTCTGCAACGAAGTCTAACACTTGAGCAAATGCTAGCAAATATCACGATCTCTACAACCGTCAGCTCGGAAGACGAAGTGCTCTCGCGATTTCAGTAGGGCTTCGCTACAAATTAAGCTAGGTAAAATTATGCATAACTTAAGGCTGACTATTTATACCCAGCCTCTCCCCCGTTTTCACGGTCACGATTGTCCACGTTCAACGGCCACGATCGCGTCCTTTCAAATTCGGCAGTTATTCCTGACATTATTTATTACAGCACGGCACGCGAGGACAGTTGTCAACCTCGATTACACCATTTTATTTCATTTTATTTTATTTTATTTTACCTCCGTTCACTTCAACCTTCTTCCAAAGGAATTGCACGATTAAATACTTCTCGGACAATCTTCACTCATGATATTTTTTACTTTGGCCCCGGCCGTTCCCTATGACCACGTGCCATGATATTCTTCACTTCGGCCCCGGCCGTTCCCCATGACCATGTGTCATGATATTTTTTACTTCGGCCCTGGCCGTTCCCCATGACCACGTGTCATGATATTTTTTACTTCGACCTCGGCCGTTCCCCATGACCACATGTCATGATATTCTTCACTTCGGCTCTTGCCGTATCCCATGACCACGTGTCATGCTACTCCTTAACCCCATGCCCTAATATCCACCCCTCACCTCAACGCCAACACAAACTCCGGCATCATTCACAAGTGAATGACTTCGTGGGGGGGAATAGTGTAGTGGTGGTAGACAGAGGTCATGAGGTATCAAAGGTATGTGGGTTGACAAAGGTCATGAGGTATCAGAGGTACGTAGGCAGTCAAAGGTCATGAGGTATCAGAGGTACGTAGGCAGTCAAAGGTCATGAGATGAAGCATGTTGCCAGCCCGAAGTCACGTACTTCGTAGCTGCCCAAGATACTCAATCTCGGACACCCGAAGCGGCTCTCGACATCTAGTCACCTCGATTCGATCGCAGGACGACGAGCTCGGTCGGGCTCAAGCCCGTCCCCTCTACTCCCGCTCCACAGTAGCTTCATACACAGGCAAACCCCTCATGTGAAGCTCCTGCGATGTTTGACACGTGTTGCCCGGGTTTCTCGGAGGGATCAACACGTGTACATCCCCCTGAACCCTCAGGGTCCATCTCAGAAAGGTATTGGAAACCGACCTCAAACTCAGCTTTTACTCTCGCTCCATAACTAGTAGTTCTGATTATTGCTGACTTAAGCATCGGAGTTTCTACCCCGAGAACCAACTTCGAGGCCTTGCAGGATAGCCGAAGTGAAGACTTGAGATCAGGAGTACCTCCCAGTTTTCTGCAACTACAAAAAGCATCATCTGAAAGGAAACAAACAAGAAAGGTCATTACCAGGGCCAGACACAACAGTCTCAATTTAATTATTGATGGTGCTTTTCCGCATTGAAAAAAAATAAAAAATGAGAATACAAGCCCAAATTCTGGCGATATTTCTTATGTTGGAGGGTGGAGTGTGTGTGGTTTTTTTAAGACCAA